AGGCCGAGGCTGAAGGCAGACTGAGGCTGAGGCTGAAGCAGGCTGAGGCTGAGGCTGAGGCAGGCTGAGGCTGAGGCAGGCTGAGGCTGAGGCTGAGGCAGGCTGAGGCTGAGGCTGTGACTGCGACTGCCGTTGCCACTGCGACTGTCATCGCGAATGCGACTACGACTGCGAGAACAGCAGAATTCTACAAGTGGATTCTCATCTGAATCTTAAGGGGAATGCTTCCAGATATGCTCCTACACATCGCTGTTAGATTGCTTTGTGGGGATAATTTTTGGAGTAGTCTGAATATTCCTTCCAACGCCCGCCTGTAGGAGGACATGCCCGACCTAACGATAGCCCGCTGCCGCCCAGAAATCTGCGGATCCTCGCTCTCGGGGGCCTCTTGCCGATTTGTTGGCGATGCATCGCTCATTCCTGCTCGATGCTTCCCCCCCTGAGGCGGTCCTCTGCGCAACGTGGCCCCCCACACGGGCACGGGCCTTCGGAGGCCCGCGCGGACCTCTCGGGTCGGCGCCGGCGCTGGGCCGCCCCTGGCGCGGTGCGCGCGCAGGCGCGCCAGCCCCAGGGAGTGCGCGCGAGCCTCCGAAGAGTTCGTGCCCGTGCCGCTTGCCGGTTCCTCTGAGGATGTACGCGGCGCCGATGGACACGCGGCTGATGCCCCAGCAGGAGGCCGACATGATGCAGCACGTGCAGGGCCAGTTCTCTGGGTGCATGCCGCCCGCGGGCCCACATCGCGTCATGATGATGCCGCAGAAGCAAGACGTGGCGGCGCTCACAGAGGGAGTGGCGCGGGGGCGGGGGGCTTCTAGGATGGCGGATGGGGCCTCCTAGAATGGCACGGGCCTGCTCAGAAGGCCCCAGAGGCTTCTAGGGATTCTTGGAAGCTGGGGGTGCTTCTAAGAAGCCCCCCCTGCCTTTTCAGAAGCCCCCGCCGCCCTCTCAGGAGCCCGCCCGCCTCGCGCCACCCCCGCTGCGGGCGCCGGCCGAGGACCAGTCCAACGACGAGCTGCGCTTCCAGGCGGAGGACATGATGGGGGGCCAGTGCTGGGTAATGATGCCGCCGGGCAACTCCAGCTCGTCCAGCTGAGCGGGCACGGGTCTGGGGCAGCGTTGGGCGGTACAGGCTCCGCGGGGCGCGCATCGACCCCCAGTCGCCCACTCGTCGCCGGTAGAGGCCCGATGGCCATCCCCGTCCTAGGGAACGTGCGGCTTCTCACTATCGGGGGCCTGCCGCTGGTCTATCGGCGCTGTTCGAAGAAGAGAGAAACGCCATAGACAGAAACTTTTGGCGCTCCGCGCGGATCTCTTGGATCTGCGCTGGGGCCCACCCGGCGGCGTCTCCAGCGCCGCCCCTGGCGCTCCGTGCACCAGGGAGGGGGGTCCAGCGCAGATACAAGAAATCCGCGCTGAGCGCCAAAAGTTTCTGTTTATGCCGTTTTTTCTTTCTCTATTCTGAGAGGCCCAGAGAGGGCCAAGGACGTGGGTGGCTGGCAATGAGGAGGAGGAGGAGGAGGAGGAGGAGGAGGAGGAAGAGGAGGAGGAGGAGGATGAGGGAGGCGTGAGAGGAGGAGGAGGAGGAGTAGGAGGAGGAGGGAGGAGGAGGAGGGGGATCAACTTCGCTGAATTGCTCTGTGGCCTGCGGATGCGCCAAGGCTCGGAGCATGCCAGACGCGCGTAAGCGCTTGCATTCCCATTCGAGGGCCTCTTGCCCTCGGGACCGCCGCCCCTGTCTGGGTGCAGCGGCGGGAGAAGGTCTTCACCGCTGCCGCCATGGTCCCACTCCTCTCCTCTGCCTGCCCCGGGTTGGACGACAGGAGAACGGCGGTAGCAAGAGGGGCCGACCGCACCGACATTCGCACCGCAGCTTCCCGCGCAGGGCCGCGCCAGCTAGCGCCCTCGTCTCCACAGTGTAGCGGTGCCGCGCTGGTGGTCTGCCCGGCGCAAGCGATTGCGTGAGCTCGCTCTGCCATCTTGCGTAAGACTCGTTTCCTTTCTTCGCTCTGGAGGGGCCAGGGACAGGGGGCACGAAACCTGCCGCATGCAGCAGATTCGGCCCGCCGCCAGCAGTTGTCCTCGACCCGTTGGCGCCTCCCTGGCGCCGGAAGGCGCCGCCTGGAAGACCAGCTGCGTGAGCTGATCAGTTGCCCCACCCTTTACTGCCCCCACTCTTTCGTCCAACCCGATCCTCCTGTCCTTTGCCAATAATGCTCCATCCTTCGAAAACCCAGGAACGGCACAAGCATACGATTTCGCAGGTCCAGGCAGAGGTCGGCGCCATATCTCTTTCCGCCTCTCCCGATCTTCCCCCCCCTCCCCTCCCCAGAGGTGCCGCCAGGGGTGTTTGAGGGGGTCCAGTGCCGACCCAAGCCATCCGCGAGGATGTGATAGTTTTCCGATTCATTGTCTTCCCGACCGGCGCGGGCGCTCGCACCCCCCCTCCCCCCCTCCATGGAGTAGATCTTGGCTGTTTTTGGCGCCGGTTTCGAGCAGGTGGAGTCTTCCCCATGGGATGCACTGCTGCAAACAGTCGCACTAAGCAGAGGTCCGGAGCCAGACCCCCCCCCCTCTCCCCCCCTGTCGCCCAATGTCGAAACGCCGAATACGAAAACATTCACGATTTGGTTCTCCAGATGCTCCGTCCTCTACTGATCTTCCCCCCTGCCTCCCCTCCCCTGGAGGTGCCGCCAGGGGTGTGGGGAGGGGTCCAGCGTCGACCCAAGCATTCCGCGAGGATTTGGTTGAGGAGGAGGAGCAGGAGGAGGAGGAGGAGGAGGAGGAGGAGGAGGGGGAGGAGGAGGAGGAGGGGGAGGAGGTGGAGGCGGAGGAGGAGGAGGAGGAGGAGGAGGAGGAGGCGGAGGAGCAGGAGGAGCCGGAGGAGGAGGTTCTCCAGATGCTCCGTCCTCTCCCCTGCCTTTCTCACCAAGCGCGCGGGCCATGGCGCCTCCGCCCTCTGCCTCCTTCGCCAGCTCACGCGCAGGCGGAGCTGTCACCTGAAGGCAGAGACAGGGCATTAAAGCATACATTTTTTCACATTTTTTCACGGCGCCGTCTCCCATCGGTCTTCGAAGGGCTTGCAAGGAGTGCTCGACAGAGGACACCTGGTGGACATGCCCGACTCCACGACTCTCGGGAGCTCCTGCAGCTCGCGTAAGGCGTAAATGGATGCCTGGTATTTCAGGCCCAGGCATCCGACGTCGTGATTCTTGACACGGCGTGACAGAACTGGGAAACACATCGGGAGGACACGAAGAAGGGGGCAGCACGGCAGCGTCGCCTTCCGTACCACGGCCGGCCTCGCTTCTCTTGCACAAGCCCGCATGATTGCTGCGTGCCGGCGGAGCCCTTTAAACTGGCACGCCCAGGTCGCAGAAAGCCCAGTCTCTACAGTCTTCCTCCTTCTCTTCTTCCTGCAGTCAGAACGTTTGGATTAAGGACCATTTGGGGCTCGGGGGGTGTCTTCCTGTCTGCCCGAGATCGCCGCATTCAGGGCTGTAAAATCCGAGGCGGGAACTTATACATGACTAATGCCTGGGGGATCAATTTTCGGGCACCTCGGCAGGCGGTGGATATGGACATTTGCGGGCCCCCGGGGGCCAAAATATATCCATATCCACCGCCCGCTGGGGCACCAGGACGTCGGTTCCCAGGCGGTGGATATGGATAAATCCCCGCCTCGCATAGAAATACCTCGTTCGTCATTCAAGCTTCTTTGTGGCAGGAGCTTGGCTGTACTCATGATCAGCAACACCATGATCATGATCATCAGCATCTCGCGCCTTGCTCTCCAATCCTCTGCTTCCCCCTGCCCCCCGAAGGAAAGATGTTTGCAACGCGTGGCCCAAGACTTCTCGACATCATCCCAGGGACCGTTTTTTCATCCCAGATTTTATGTTGATGGTCCTGGTGCCCGAAACGGACCTCAGGAGGCGGAACTCGAGGAACAACACTGGGATCGGAACACGACGTCGGAGGTCTGGGTCAGTATCTTTTTCTCACTTCGTCTCTCGCATGGTCTCCTCTCACCGTGCTCTTTCCAGGATTCGTGACCTCTTGGCAGCTCAACTTCCCTGGTGCTCGTGCACCTCAGCAGAACACCGTGACAGCGGACACGATCGGGCAGTGGGCAGGAACAGTCATCAGCATCTTCTCTGGACGCCCGAAATGGGTACGGAAAGAATGGGTACAATGCCCAACAGCAGTTCCTGTTCATTTTGAACAGGATTCGCTGTCCACGCCGCCGCGGTCTGTGTCCATTCGAGACAGAGGCCCGCCTGCCCAACAGCGGCCTCTGTTGGTTTGGGACAACATTTGTTGTTGGGCATTGTACCCATTCTTTCCGTACCCATTTCGGGCGTCCAAATCTTCTCCCTCGTCCCTCCGCTTCCTCTGTCTCCTCCTCTTCCTCTCTCCCGGCCCCTCCTCCGTCTCTCTCCCCGCTCCGGGGGCCCTCGCGCTCCTCCCGTCGCCCTCCTCCTGCCCGGAGCAGGAGGAGCAGGCTGCTCCTCCTGCTCCTTCTTCCCAGCCATCCTGGGGTGTCTTGGGTCCTCGTTTTGAAGAGAGA